AGGAGGCTGAGGCAGAAGAATTGCCTGAACCCAGGAGGCGGAGGTTGCGGTGAGCCGAGATCGCGCCATTGCACTCCAGCCTGGGTAACAAGAGTGAAACTCCGTCTCAAAAAAAACAACAACATCCGCCAAGCACGGTGGGGTCCACATGCAGTCCCAGGGAGGCTTGCTTAAGCCTGGGAGGTGGAAGCTGCAGTGAGCTAGGACTGCACCACTGTGCTCCAGCTTCGGCAAATAAAATAATAAACAATGGCAGGCACATGTGTGGTCCAGGGAGAGGAGCCAAAACCTAGCCTGTGGTCGGGTCCCCTCCTCGCACTTTGGGAGGAGGCTGGACTCCCTAGCGGCCACAGGAAGGGACAGGGGCACACACACACACCGGTCCCGAGGCCTACTCAGCCGCTCTGTGCCCTGCCTTCAGAATTCTCCGGAAGCCTCTGTGACAGCAGCCCCACAGAATCACTCATCCGTTCACCCACTCTCCACTGAGCACCCGAGACGGGTCACAGCCAGGCTCGGGACCCCTGGCATCCGCAAGAAACATATGGAGCCCAGGACTCACACCAGCTGTTCTGTGCAGCTAAGGGGCCCCCGCCAGGTACTCACAGGATGTAGGTGATGACTCCAATGCTCCTGGGGAGACAAGAGGTAGAGGTCAGCGCCGTACAGGGCCTCCTACCCTTCCAGGACCGTGGTGTCCCACGGGGTGAGTGGCTGGGGAGACCAGCCCCGACTACAAGCACCTTTGGCCACAACCGCCCGCCCAAGTTCAGACCAGGCAGGGGTGGGGACAGGGCAGAGGGCACCATGGCCATAGATGGACAAATGGGCCGAGCAACCCAGACAGCTACCTACACCAGTGACCCTGCGTGGGGCCTGGGGTGGTCTCTGGCGGCTGGCAGGCTCTCCTATGAAGGGCGACGCTGTGAGTGCTTCAGGCCTGCAGGCCACTATGTCGTGGGCAAGCACTCATCTGTTTTTAACACCCCTTTGAAAATGTGAACATCGTTCTCAACTCACAGGCCAGACCTGGGCCTCGGGCAGGAGCCCACCAACCCCTATTCTAGGGCAACAGTCCCCCCGTGCCCCAGCAGCAGCAAGGCCCCACTTTATCCCCTGCTGCGGCACCCGCCTGAGCTCCAGGATAGCAGGGAGGCCCGGGTGGAGGGAACACGGCACTCACCACATGTCCGCCTCCAGGCCCAGCGGCTCATAGTTTACAATCTCTGGGGCTGTGGAACAGGGAGATGTGGGTCAGGCACTGGGGACACGCAGGCCAAGGAAGAGGCTGAGGACATAGGTCTCCAGGCTCAGGAAACAGACATGGGGTCAAGACTCTCTCTCACATATCATAGCCCCTGGGGGCATGAATTCGGCAGGGCTGACTCTCCAGGCCTGATGGGCGGGCTGGGACACACCAAACAGAGACTGACTTCCCGCAATGCTGGGCCTGAGAGGGGCAGCCGCAGGGCCGTGGACACAGACTGGGCACGACTCGCCCCATGCCCAGCAGGCAGCCCCACACGACCCTCCCCAGGCCAGGACCGCCCACCGGGCAGGGACTCACCCACAAACTCTGGGGTGCCAAAGATGTTCTTGAACTCGTTCCCCGCCTCGATCTTGTGCGCGATGCCGAAGTCGATGAGCTTGATGCGTGGGTTGGGCACGTTCTTGTCCAGCAGCATGATGTTTTCTGGCTGAGGCGGGAGGGGTGAGCAGTGCAGCACAGGCCCCGGCCTCACCCCACGCTCAGGAGGGGCCCTCCAGGCTCTCCCTTCCAGCCCACACCGGCCGCATCGGCCCCACGGGGCTCACCTTCAGGTCAAAGTGCGCGATGCGCTTGGAGTGCAGGTAGTGGACGCCATCCAGGATCTGCTTGAGGAACTGGGTGGCCTCGTCCTCCGTCAGCGACTCCTTCTCCGCCAGGAAGTCGAAGAGCTCCCCGCCGGAGACCAGCTCCAGAATGAGGACCACGTCCGTGCTGTTCTCGAAGATGTCATGCAGGGTGATGATGTTGGGGTGCCGGATCTCCCGCAGGATGCTCACCTCACGCTCGATCTCCTCCCGGCTCACCCCACGCCGGCTGGACGACAGGCGGCGCTTCTTGATGAACTTGGCTGCGTACTCCTTGCCCGTGCCCTTCTGCCGGCACTTCCGCACGATCGCAAACTGGCCGCTGTAGGAGGAGGAGGGAGGTGAGTGGGGGCGGCTGGCTCCCCATCTCGGCCTCCTGCTCCTCTGGGCGCAGCCCTGCACCAGCCACATGGGAGGAGGACGTGAGCGTGCTGCTGGGGGAGTGTGGCCTCCTCAGCCTTCTCAGAGAGCAGTTCTCCAGCACCCAGCACACACACCATTCCCACTCTCCCAGGGCTACGCCAGCAGGTGTGCAGAGGCGAGGGCAGAGCCACACACGACACCATGTGTTGGAAAGTGAAAAAATGAAGAGTTAACGTATATCAAGAGGGAACTGAGGGGGCCGGGCGTGGTGGCTCACACCTACACCTGTAATCCCAGCACTTTGGGAGGCCGAGGCGGGCGGATCACTTGAGGTCAGGAGTTTGAGACCACCCTGGCCAACATGGTGAAACCATGTCTCTACCAAAAATACAAAAAATTAGCTGGGCATGGTGGCAGGTGCCCGAAATCCCAGCTACTTGGGAAGCTGAGTCAGGAGAATCACTTGAACCCAGGAGGCGGAGGTTGCAGTGAGATGAGATTGAGCTACTGCACTCCAGCCTGGGCAACACAGCAAGACTCTGTCTCAAAAAATAAATAAATAAATTTAAAATATAAAGAAGGGGACTGGGTGTGGTGGCTCACGCCTGTAATCCAAGCACTTTGGAGGCCAAGGCAGGCAGATCACCTGAGGTTAGGAGTTCAAGACCAGCCTGACCAACATGGTGAAACCCCATCTTTAAAAAAATAAAATAAAATAAAATAAGAGGGAACTCAGCCAGGTGCAGTGATTCACATCTGTAATCCCAGCACTTTGGGAGGCTGAGGAGGGAGGATTGCTTGAGCCCAGGAGTTTAAGGCCAACCTGGGTAACACAGTAAGACCCCATCTCTACAGAAAAGAAATATTAAAACATGAGCAAGGTGGCCAGGCATGGTGGCTCACGCCTGTAATCCCAGCACTTTGGGAGGCTGAGGTGGGTAGATCACCTGAGGTCAGGAGTTCGAGACCATTCTGGCCAACATGGTGAAACCTAGTCTCTACGAAAAACACAAAAATTAGCCAGGCGTGGTGGCGGGCGCCTGTAGTCTCAGCTACTGGGGAGGCTGAGGTAGGAGAATCGCTTGAACCTGGGAAGCGGAGGCTGCAGTGGGCACAGCTCGTACCATCGCACTCCAGCCGGGGCAACAGAGTGAGACTCTGTCTCCAAAAAAAAAAAAAAAAAGGGCAAGGTGTGGAGTGGTGCATGCCCGCAGTCCCAGCTGCTCGGCAGCTGAGGCAGAATCACTTTCACTTACGCCCAGGAATTCAAGGCTATAGTGAGCTGTGATCGCACCACTGCACTCTGGGTTGGGCAATAGAGACCTCGTCTCTTCAAAAAAGAAAAAAAATAAGCGAGCGTGGTTTCCAACCAAACAAGGACTGTAAAGAAATGAGTAAGTGGGAGCTGGCAGATGTGATGCCAGGTCCAGGGGAATTGCACCCAGTCACGACAAAGAAGAGGCCAGCTCTTTATGCGCAGACAAGCGGAGACCTGTACAACGCCACCCACCCAGTGCAGCGGAGAACGCAGTCTTTTATTTAGACGGGTTGGGAGGCTACACAGCAGCCTGTCCGCAGCAGGCCTCCGGGAGTGGGGTTCAGGGCGTGTGCACGGAGGGAGCGTTTTGCTTTAAATTGGGTGCAATTCCATCCTGACTCAACTAGTCACAGCAGAATTCATTTTACCATTTTTGTAACCCTATGCCACTGACTTCAAAGAGCTCCATAGTCAGTGAACAGAGTGAACGAGAGGCGCGTGTTCACGAGACGCGACCAGACTGAGGACGTGGGCCTGGCGCCACCCACGCCACCATCAGAAATGGTGTGGAAACAGCCCGGCCCCTCAGAAGCTTCAGCAGAGTTTCCACATAACCCACAATTCCACTCCCGGATCTCCCCGAGGGACACGCGCACGCGCATAGCCAGGCAATCACCTCCACAGGGACACTCACAGCAGCCCCGCCACAGCGGCTGCAGATGGCAACAGCTCCAATGCCCATCAACAGAAGAGTGACCGACACAGTGTGTCCTGTCACACATGAGAGCCTGACCCAGCCGTGAACAGGAACACACTCTGACACAGGCCACAGCTCCTTAGAACCTCGAGGACGTCATGCCAGACACAAACGGCCCAAGCCCTTCTGCCCTGCTCCAGGCGCTGGGTCATGGGCACGGGCTGAGCATGGGCCAGCCCTTGTAACAATGTGTGCTCACTGCCACCTCCCCAAGACCCACGTCGGGGTGTGCTGGTAACAAAACCCCCGTGGCGGGCCACCAGGGACACAAAGGGGTTAGAGGCAGGGACACTCAAGGTAGGCAAGGGGTGGTGCCAAATGATTACTGAGAGTATAGTAGACTAAATACACCGATGCCTTTAAGGACGTCTTCTGCATCCTAGCCCCTGGGACTGGCCACGAAGGCGACTTCAGCAGCGAAAGGGGCTCAGCAGTGGGGATGAGGCCAAGATCTGGAGACAGGAGCACATCCTAGGGATCCGGCCCCGTGTCCTCACAGCATCCTCACAAGGTGAGTGTCAATAGAGACTGGAAGAGGCTGCGCTGTGGCTGTGAAGGGGGAGGAAGGGGTCCCCGAGAGCCAAGCGGGTGCCTCTCGACGCTGGGAAGGGTGGACCTGCATTCTCCCCGGGAACCTCCCGCATAGGCCAGCCCTGAAGCTCCACTGCAGACTCGGAACCCCCGAGGGAAGGCACGGTCATCTAGGGCATTCACTTGTGGGGATTCGCTCCTGCAATTGCAGGAGCCTCTTGCTGGCTAACAGCCCAGGGCAGAAGGCGGAGGAAAGAGGAGGAGATCGGTCGGTGGCGGGAGAAATCACAGGGAAAGGACACAAACCTTCTCAAAAGGTGGGGAGGTTTTGCAAAGCTTTGGGGGAGAAGCAGCTGAAGGCAGAGGGCAAGGAGTAGGTGCAAGGCAGCGCAGGGGAATTTATCTAAGTGGGCTTATTTGTTTATGATTATCCACGGGCTGGAGACTGCCCTCTGTCTGGTGGAACAATAAGGTTAATTGACCACAGACTGTGCAGACTGCAGGCTTTCGGCATTATCTGTACTAAGTTATCTAGCTGTTTGGGGCTGCTCTCTGTCCTTCAACCACTAGTGCCAGCAGCCCCCAGTGCTCTTTCACTGCATACCTGTGTCTGAGTACTCCTTTCATCCGTAGCTCGGTCAGGGTCTGCAGGACGGACCCAGCAGCAAAGCGAGGTTGCGGAACTGATCAGACTTGGCTCACCAGCCAGGCCTGCGTGAAACTCAATGTCCCCAGCATAGGCTCTGCTCCCAGCTGCCACCGTCTCTGCTATAAGGCTCCCTGCACCTGGACTTCCTTCCTGCTTCCCCTCTGGCTGCACCCACCAAGCGGTCACAGCATCCAAAACCCAGGGCTTCCCTCATGCCAAGAACTCTGCAGAAATCCCTGGATGTGCCGCTTCCTTTTATTTATTTATTTTTGAGACGGAGTCTTGCTCTGTCACCCAGGCTGGAGCGCAGTGGAGCAATCTCGGCTCACTGCAACTTCTGCCTACCAGGATCAAGTGACTCTCCTGCCTCAGCCTCCCAGGTAGCTGGGATTACAGGTGTCCCCCACCACGCCCAGCTAATTTTTTTTGTATTTTTAGTAGAGACGGGTTTCACCGTGTTAGCCAGGATCGTCTCAATCTCCCGACCTCATGATCCCCCCGTCTCAGTCTCCCAAAGTGCTGGGATTACAGGCGTGAGCCACCACGCCAGGCCCGCTGCTTCCTTTTTTCTTTTTATTTTTTATGAGACAGGGTCTCACTCTGTCACCCAGCCTGGGTGGAGTGCAGTGGCAGGATCTTGGCTCACTGCAACCTCCGCCTCCTAAGTTCAAATGATTCTCCTGCCTCAACCTCCTAAGTAGCTAGGACTACAGGCACGTAACACCAAGTCTGGCTAATTTTTGTATTTTTAGTGGAGATGGGGGTTCGCCATGTTGGCCAGGCTGGTCTCAAACTCCTGACCTCAAGTAATTTGCCCACCTAGGCCTTCTAAAGTGCTGGGATTACAGGCAGGAGCCCCACATCCAGCCGGGCTGCCTCCTTTTTAAACATGCAGATTTTATCCCTCTAGCATTATTCTGAGCTGAACTAACAAATAAAAAGGAGGTTGGGCACAGAGGCTTGCGCCTGCAACCCCAACACTTTGGGAGGCTGAGATGGGAGGATCACTTGAAGCCAGGAGTTCGAGTCCAGCCTGGGCAACACAGTGAGACCTCAACTCTACAAAAGTTAACTATCCAGGCAAGATGGCACATTCCTGTAATCCCAGCTACTCAGGGACGGAGGCAGGAGGATCCGTTGAGCCTGGGAGGCTAAGGCTGCAGTGAGCTGTGATTGTGCAGCTGAACTCCAGCCTCAGTGACAAAGTGAGACCCTCGCTCCCAACAACAACAGAAGACTTGGCTGGGCACAGGGGCTCCAGGCTGTCTTGGAGCTCCATGCTGTCATTTCCATTCACCTCCAACTTGACCCCACAAGGCAGGTGTGTCTGTCTCTGTTGCTCAGGCTGGAGTGCAGGGGTTCAATCATGGCTCCCAACAGCCTCGACCTCCTGGGTTCGGGCAATCCTCCTGCCGCAGCCTCTCGGGCAGCTGGGATAACAGGCGAACGCCACCACACCAAGTTAATTTTTAAATTTTTATTTTGTAAGGACGAGGCCTCACTATGTTACCCAAGCTGGTCTTGAACTCCTGGGCTCAAGCCATCCCTCCTGAGTACATGGGACTACAGGCACATGCTACCACACCTTATTTATTTATTTATTTATTTATTTATTTATTTATTAGAGACGGGGTTCTCCATGTTGGTCAGGCTGGTCTCGAATCCCTGACCTCAGATGATCCACCTGCCTCGGCCTCCCAAAGTGCGGGGATTACAGGCGTGAGCCACTGCGCCCAGCTATTTTTTTAAATTTTTTTTGTAGAGATGGGGTTTTGCTGTGTTGCCCAGGCTGGTTTGGAACTCCTGGCCTCAAGCGATCCTCCCACCTCCACCTCCACCTCCCCCACGTGTTGGGATTCCAGGTGGAGCCACTGCACCTAGCCACTATCCACATTTTAAAGAAACTGAGGCTGAGAAAAGGAAAGCAACTGGCTGAGGTAATGCAGCCCGTCAGCAGCGGGGGGATTCAAACCTTCGAACCAGGTGCTGCAGGCTCCAGAGCCCATGTGCTCTAACAGGAGGTGGGCACCTGGTGGTGGGCACTGGGTTCCTGCCTGCCCAGCTCCTGGCTCTGGCCTGTCTCCTGCTAACAGACCCAGACTTGGCCTCCCAAAGTGCTGGGATTACAGACGGGAGCCACGGTGCCTTGCCTGTATCGTTTTAATTATGAACTTGTTTGTTTGAGAGATGGGGGTCTACCTACGCTGCCCAGGCTAGTCTTGAAGTCCTGGGCTCAAGCCATCCTCCCACCTCGGCCTCCCAAAGCGCTGGCATGAGCCACCGTGCC